CAAAACAAAACAAATGATTAAACTCCTGTCAAGTGTCGTCGGTGGGCGGTTTATTACTCAAGCTAAACATGCTATTATAAACAAAAATATTAAATATACTCGTTTTACTACATTGTATAGAATGTGTATAATATTAAATAAAGAATTAAAAAAAAAAAACATATATTCATTTTGCCAAGTGTTTAGAATATATTGTAGTGTGTGAATATTATATTACATAGTTGCTTACACCGAAGTTGTTTGTTTACACCAAAAAATACAAACATAATAACAAAAACGCCTCGAGGTATTTGGGGTGTTTATGTGGATTCGGTTGGGCCCATAGTAATTCACTGTGTTTAATAAATAATTGTATTCATTCTCGGTGAAATCGGAATTTGGCGGAAATAATCAAAAAACACTCTAGTGGCTCGCTGTGCCCGTTTATCTGTCGGCGGCATACGTACCACGTGTGGCCGGCGGTTGATGATTAATCATTATGTGCATCGCCTATTTGCCGCGGTGTTATACATATAATAACATTATTGTCAGTGGCCATTTCCGTGAGGCACCGGATAAAAACGGATTAATATTTTTCCGAAGTGCTACAAAGTTATTAATCACGGTCACGTGGCCATTAAATACCACAGCGTCGTGTCCCTGACGTTTTTGGTTTCAAAAGTTAAGTAAACCTGGACATTTCGGATCAAGCCGGGACGTGTGTCTGCGAAGGTACCTCCTGACCACCGTTGTCGGTACAGGTCTTGTGTCCGACCGCCGCCGGATCGTATATTAAGGGAAAAGTTTTATAGGTACTCTTTACCGACTGCGACCCCCACCACGGCTCGTGTTCATCCATCAACATCAGCGACACAAGGAATTTTTTAAAACCTCGCCGGACCCCAGAAATGCAAAAGTTGCTACACCTCCAGTGGAACGTTGTACCGGTCGGTCCCGCCACAAGTACGGTGATTGGATGCGTAGATTAGCATAACTCAATGGCCATTTTTCCCCACTGGGTATTAGAAAAGTATAACATTTACTACCCAGAAGCCTTTTTAAGCGTAAACTGTTAAATAGTTCAACAAAAGGAACCCAATATTAGTTCTATCGAAATAAACTAAAAATTTAATACGTTTTTATGGTAATTATTTTGATTAAAAACAAACAAAATATGTTATGTATTATTGATTGCCTAGTGAAATATTAGTTATCAACAATGATTACTTAAGGAGTTGTTAAATATAATTTAACCGTGTTATCGATAGTTTTATTAAATATAACTACTGACATTTTCAGTTTGCAATTTCAGTATGAACAAAATGTGCACTCTGCTAGTAAAATAAAAAAATGCATAGTAGTCAAAATAAATTTTCTATTATGTAGTCATAAATGTAGATTTATTTTAGAAGGTGATAGGTACTTTAAATAAACATTGTTAAATTTCACGAACAATTAATCAAGTTGTCATATCGATGATATGTATGTGTACATCTGTACCTCGTCGTTCGTACGCCGAAATGAATTATTAAAATTATTTTCAGTTTTTAGATTTAAATGAAATAAACCCACTAAGACTAGCGTCAAAAGAAGTAAACAAGATTTCAAACATGTGGTTTAATAACACACAATGTTTATCTTAGTGTTGGCAAATAAATTGTGGGCGATATAGGATTTCTATTTTTACGGATTTCGTCAACTTTATGCTGTGTTAGGCCGTTTTACACTTTTGGCCACTAAAACATTAACAATGTATAGTATATTCTATTAGTTTCCGATTTTTTGGCTTATTTCCATAAACCAAAACGTCAAAACAAACCCCTTCTCCTCTTGACCTCTTCTTATTAAACGCCAAAATTCTGCCAGTATGAAAATAAGGCGGTATTTTAGCCTTTTGCATTATTTTCACTAAAGTTTCACCAACAATAGCTATAAAGAAAAGAAACTTGTTTATTTTTACACAACCCAGTTATCGGAATTTGTATTTTTAATTTCCCGTGGTTTATTTTTTAACAGACTTTATTTTGCACAATGCGCTAGTAGTTGTTATCTTTTTTTAATATATTTATTTCGAATAAGGCAAAATACGTTTTACTAAAATAATAATTTGTGATAATTCTATTATCTATAAATATATAATAAATATAAATATTATTGTTGCTTGTGTTCGCTTGACAATATTTTATTATAGGAGGGTCCATTAATTATATTACTCAACGTTTAAATTTAATTATTTAAATTGTTTTGCCCTTACTAGGTATGAACATTTCCTGTTGTAGATTTTTAATGTAATTTAATGATAATATTGTTTATAAGTCACTTAATCTTCGTCTTCTTTATCTTCGCCCCACACTCTCAACTACGTCCACCCTAGAACTACACCTCCATAGAGCTCGATACATCACTATAATTATATTTTATAAATCACTTAATACGTTCGAATAGTCCGTGGTTCAATAAACATTATTTGAGTGATAAACAACTGACGTCAATAGTTATATTTCATGTACTTTGAATAGTACGACCTAAATTGAAAAAAAAATAGTGTAATCGGAAATTTCCACCCGAATGGATTCGCTCCCTTTGTAAATCAAACGATTGTATTATATTCCATAGAATGACCACCGTTGTTTACTAACTTGACGAGATCCATCCATAATCGCAGACAAGTCATTATATTTTACATAGCGCGTTTGCATTAAACTTGTTTAATGCATAAAGGGTTGGAATGGCATACATTTTTCGTCAAGACGATTTTAAGAGATCTCTATTTTAAATATTTTATCTATTTGCATGAACACAGTTAAGCGGCCAAATGTATGGATACATAAACGTATTTGGTTTTTATGTAATATGGATTTCTTATACTTGCTTTGCACTAATCTGCTTTTTTTATTATTTGCGCTATTTGGATTTATTTTAGAATATTTATATATTGTTGCTTACAAATAAATTACACACAGTGTGATGTCAAGTTAGACATAAAATAATTTTTTAAGATTGTTGTCTCTAAACTCGACTATAATTGTCTGTGTCAATTATTTTAAATAACATATGTAATATATATCTTTAATATTATATTCACACCTAGTTGGACATGTATATGGTCAGTGCCAATTGTAACTATACCGCAGAAGACGGACAGTGTAATGCTAATGTTATAGACTATGGTCTGTGGATGTCGTTTATATTGCTTTTCGCGAACAATACACCATTCCTCGCGATTTGTACTTTTGTTCAGTGTATGAATTTTAGTAACATAGTCTCCGTAGATTACAATATAGTCTATATAGGCGTCGGAATAAATTATAACGTTAATATCCGTCGGGTGAAATCTACGTTTTTTTCGCTTGTCTCCGAGGGTTGAGCATTTGGCGTTATCTTAAGTTTACGACCATTTACCATAGATGTATTTATTACTTCAGTTTTTTGTTGTTAGGTTTCGGATTATTTCATGAACCGTCGTTCACAAAAAGAAAGTGCCCGACGAACGGAAATCACATTTGAAATAAAACAAATAAGACATAAGTGCTTCTCTTTAAGTTTAAAGTGTTGTCGGCATAGAATATTGGGGTAATAAATTTGTTTTTTTCCCTTAAAGTTATTGCCCAGGCCATATTATATATTGACCACATATATAAATTAAACGATCCACCTTTTCGTTAGACAGGCCGGCTATCATGATGTGACATTGGACTGTCTTTATTCACACCAAGAAGCATTGAAAAAAGAACATCTTTAATGATGTTATAATCAAATTATGTCAGTTTAGGTTATGACCATAGTCTAAGAAGTATTATAAATTAGTATAAACGTAACTACAGCCAGAGTAATGCATCTGACGTTTGTGTTCGCCGTACTGTAGTTAAAGTGAACCCATTAGACCAGAACGTACTTCAGACGTGTTCAAGGGACTCCACATTTGTATTTTGTCCCATCGACTACATTATTCTTGAAGTCTAACTTATTGTTAAGATACATTCAATCCAATTCCTAGATAAAAATAAGGCTGTAACAGTCAATAAAATCGAAAAGGAATGAGCAGGAATTTTCGTAAATTGTTAGTAGATTAATTCAATAAATAAAGATATTCTAAGATAGTGATAACTGAAGCCACTGCTCTTCAAATGCAGTCATCATTTCAATAAACATAATATTAATCATTGATATTGACCATTACATTATTTTCAATAGGAAATAAATGGGGTTCTTACGAATTTTTAAATTTAACATTATTCGCTTATAATTAGTATTTTTTAAAGAAAAATTAAACACTTATCGTCTATTAAAACGTTTTGGGCAAAATACTTTTATTGAAATGTGTCTTCTCATATTGAAACGTTTAATAGGTAAAACTGGAAGTAAAATGTACGTTGAGGAATTTGGATTTTGTATGTGGCTAGTATTACACTATTAATACTATTAAAAATACTGTATTAAATTAGTTTAATAAAAATGTTTAAAAAAGTAATAGTTTTATCAAGGCAAACTGTAGATAAGCAACGAGACTAGATTCAACTTACAATAAACAATTTAAAAAGTATGAGGCAAGCTATAATTCAACTTTAAAATTGTCTTTAGCTAGGTAGGATGATTTTATTTTTGGCAAGTGTTGTGTCGTCGACGCTCGTATAGTCGCGTTCATTGAATTGTAAAATAATAATAGTTATACGAAATTGATTTTAGCTATCATCGTTTCATAAAAGAATGAAAATCGCAAAGCCAATTAATTGTGAAAATACAATAGGTAATGTGATATTCTCGAGGGATATTTAAAAAACAATAGTATTATTATTGTGTTTTTGTAAAAATCTTTGTCAAGAATATTAAAAAAGTTTAAAAGTACAGTTTTAAACGAGTGGTTTAGGGTTATTGCGAAAATTATATTTATATTTTTTCAAGCAATAACAATAAGAATAATATAATTGGAGCTGCGCCACTTATTTGCCATCGATTCAAGGATCGGCTACAGTTGTAAAAGTATGATCTCATTTTATTATATATTTTTTATGCCTTTACAGTTTAACGTCAGGCAAATGATGGTCGACAGTACGGGAATGAGAACGGACAATATAAAACCAGGAACGCCTATACCGTCTGAAACGTCTAGCTCAAAAAACACCAATGAAAGTTCCAGCAATAACACCAAAAACAGTTCGACGGCCATCGAGAAAATTGTGCCCTCCAGGTAAGAAGTGGTCGTGTGTGATACTATTTTATTCCTGATTTTATGTCTTTCCCCCTCTATAAACCCTAGTAAATTTAGTATGTCTTATACCATGAGAAGAAAGTCTTTATCAATTTAAAATACATGTAATTTAAGATCCATGGTCTATGGATACCTGTAAAATTAAGTACTAAAAACGGTTTTTCGGTATATGCTCTCGTGCATTCAATAAATAATATTTTTACGATTGCTTTTAAAAAATAATTAGGTTTATTTTATTTACTACTAAAATATTGACGTTTTCGTCTGTTGGTTGTATTTGGAGGTGTACAGATGGTTTTACACAACATTTTCAAATGTAAGGTCACTGGGAAAAGGGTGATTTGTAACTATAAAATAAAAATACATTAATTAACATACGAAAACGTTGTACCTAAAAAAAAAACCGAGTGAGCCGTGGAAATTGCTCACAATAGTTATGTGTAAACATTTTTAGTTTTTAAGTGTGGCATAATAAGTACTACATACAAGATCCGATAACATGCGATATAACTAAAAAATATATTTGCATAAAAAAACAAACCAGTAAACTTGTGAAATACAAAATAATTTTATTTTACAATATTATACAGTTTGTGTTTGATTAATATTCTTGAAAAAATTACAAATTTTCAACTGTTAAGGTTACAACGTTCATTCAATAGTTATAATTACAAATATAGGTAAAATGATTTTAATTAAAAATAACTCACAAGTTAGGTAATATTAAAAATTGTCAATAAAATAAAGAGTTTGATTGAATGCGTGAACTCTATTTTTAGGACAAGTTTAGCAACGACAAAAAACAAGCTGTAAAGTGGCAAAATAATAAATGGGGCTCAGGTTTATAAATGTTGTAAAAAAAAAATCCCCAAGCGCCGATAAAGACGGGTTTTTATAAAAGTTTTGGTTACAGCGGGGAGTGTTGCATGAAAGATGAGTCACTAAAGTTCATTGAAGTGGTTCAGTAAAAACATATATAAAACAAAAGAGTGTTTTATAAATCTTCTTTTTTTATATATTTTAAGAGGTATTACTCGAGTGTGCGAGCTGTGCGTTTTTTTTTTCAAACGTTTTTGGTAGTTACAGTGATCACTCTTTCAATTGATCTGCTTTTGCATTGCCACAATAATAATGTTTTCCAATTTCTTACGTCCCGTTTACATTCGACTTGGACAAATCGAGGAAGCGGAAACTTGTAATATCTAAGACTTCGAATGTGGTTATCACACGTGCACGGGCGGTGAAGGCTTAATTAAAACTTCCTGACGTTAAACGTCATGTAATCAATGATTCACAAGCCGCATTGAATGTTCTTATTATTAATAAGAGATCATTTAAGTTTAAAATTCGACGATAAAAATGCAAAAGGTTTAGATTCATGGCCGGGGATCGAACCGATAAACACACCATGCAAAACAAACGTTTCACAAATTTCGGTTGTGTATTTTAGCTCAAAAACATGTTTGTATCGGAATAAATATATACTATTGATCATGCATTGCCGTTGTGCGTTGTGTGCATTCTAGCACATTATAAACGGACAGAGTGAACTTATCGGTAAACGTAATCATTGACTTGACGATTCACGTTCACAGCTGATTTCCACTCAATAGGTCGGTACGCCTTCGGGGCATTCCGTCAACAGTACTCGCTCTTTTCTTCTTTCCGACCTACTCCCGACACCCTTTATCCACCGTTCGGCTATACCTATATTATACGCTCATCTCACAACACTATCTCGGGTAGACGCCTGCACCCTCTGCTTGCCGCCCTCCGAGAACAAACAATATTTACGGACCAAAGTGTAAGACACGTTCACACGCGTGATACGACCGCCAAAAACAATCGATACATAAGGTAGGCATAATATACGACCCGCGGTATTATCGGTTTCGCACAGAATAGTGAATATACATGAACGGGTAGACCGATAATCCATCTTGGTGACAAGTTTAGACCAATCGTGCATGCAACGCGCGACATTCGGTTCTTATAATAATAAGAATAATAATAATATGCCGATGTCGCAACGCAGCCATCGTCTTTAAGTTTCACATATTGTACAATATGCAAATTCCGAAGCCAGTTCAACTCGCTCACATTTCAAAACATGACCACCGCACGCCTGTAGTATAATGATCTCAATGGTAGACACAGACAAGCTAATTTACCTTGTATCTGTCATACGCCAACTTCAATTCTACCAACCTTCTGCTGTAGGCGTCTAAAAATCGAATTTAGTAGACATTTAGTTTTGTTAATACATACGTTTAAAATCAATTTTTATTGTACAAAACAAATTTTTTAGTTAAGTACATAAATTTACATAGCATGCACTAAGGTTTAAATGAATATATAATATTATGTTTTATTTTAATATATTAAATATGATAATTTTTGTGTTCCACTTTATTTTTCAAATTCTAGTAATTGAAAATGTTTTTAAGATATTAGCTTATATAGATAGTATTTGTGTAAGCCCAGTTATTGCTAATTTTATTGTGATTGCAGAATTTTTAAAGTATGCTAATGTTACAATAGGAAATCATATTTTACAACTTATCTGCTTATCGTATTACTATTATTTTATTGAACTAATATTGCCTATTGCTATACGACGGTAAAAAATTACCATCTTTAAATAATATTTAATATTATATTAACCTAAAATTTAGGAAATATCGTCTTTTTTTAAAATTCAATTGCACAACTGGTACCAAAGGTTACAAAGTGTTATTTATCGATTTAACAAATGTGTTGCAAGTGTGCAAATTCCTTTAGTTCTAAAATTAATTTTAGCTTCAATGCGGAGCAGTTATGCTAATAGTTTTTTACTTTACTGTCTACACTTGTATGAAGTTTAAATTTAAAATAATGCACAAATATATGTAAATGTATATTTTTTTATAGTTTTATATGAAAACGTTTCTCAAGTGAGGAAACTCGTATTAACAGGTGGTCGACTCTGACTTCTTACCCACTACTCTAGACAGAATGATATGACCATATATATTTCTTAATATTATGAATATTTCTAATTGATAGGAAAATATTATATAGGTTTCTAATCAATAATTTTCAATTGGTAATACAATGAACTTAAATTTAAAAAAAAATTCTGACTGTGAAGATTGGAGAATGCTATTAAAGTATACCTAAGTATTATTTGTATTATTTTACCTTATTTTAGTAAACTAAATGTTAAATTATTCTACAGAATAAATCATATAAAATTTCAACAGATAGTGAACTTAGTTGAGCTATCATTTAAAAAACAAGAATCGCACTGGAGAGAACCAATACCGTTTTGTTCGCTGTAAACTGCGCTGGAAATGACTGTAAAATGATGAAATAATTACACGCGAAACAAAACATTTTTATTTCATGAAACTTGTTTATAAAATAAATTTGAGATAACGTTTCGGAAACAGCAATATGTGCTGCTCCATTTAAATACACGCGTTTTTAACTAACGAAACAAAGCACAGTCATAGTAAGCTAGGTTAAAAAATATTATAATTACCTCAAAAACAGTCTTATTAGCACTTTTAAAGATTGCAATAGTTACAATATTTCTATGAAAAAGTAACTAGAAAAATGAAAGTACTAAATTATTTTCCCAAAAAGTTTACCTATTACTTACGTTGCTTTCCAATTTGTATGTATGTATTTAATAAAAGTACAAAAACATAAGAAACGATGTAGTTTTTCAAATAATATAACTATCATCCGAGTTGTGTTCGAGTTCAGAACCGATTTTTCGAATATTGAAGTCTAGGAACATTTTATGGCTCCATGATAATAATATGTTTGGTCTAATCTATTTTTCTGCACACCAGAGTTGTATATAAAGAAATACATTGCATACCGTGATTGAATTTTAAACAAACATAAAAGAAAAGCCCAATGAAATGAAGTAAAACGAATTTGTCCGTATCGTCTGTTCCGTATTATTGCGTGTGTATGCGCGTTCGCTTCTATTATATGTATCGTACAACAAGCAAAAGTTTCAATGTGTCGAAAGTTCAGACAAAAATTGATTCGGGAACTTTTTTTTTTTTTGTTATATAAAACGTAAGACCATCACGTATCGTAGATCCAGCGGAGCGCATTCTTCGACGGCAAATTTATATGTACATGGATACAAAAAAAAAATCATACATTATTATGTATACATGTATATAGGGTACGCATCGCCATTCCAAATGCCAATGTCTAGTGTTTCGAATTTGCTAATAATAATAATGGCATAGATTTTTTTCTCCTTGTTTTTTCTCACTCGTCCGCAGTATGATGGCAATTACTTGCCGTCATCGCGGCTCTTCGAGTCGCTAATTTTGTACGGAAACGCCAGAAAGACAGCACAGGTGTACCGCCGGAAAAGCCATTAGGGTAATAAAAACTTGATTATCGCGAGAAAACCTCGGATTTGCCCGCGAGTCCCACCATCGACCGGCATAATTAATAACGGTTTCGAGAGCCGACATTCAAAATATTTACCGTCAAATGAAATCAGCACAGGCCCATCAACCGTCGTCGCCGCAGTACAGTAAACAATGAATGGTATCTAAAGAAAGATGTGATTAGTGTTTAATCGTTGAATTGATCACCTGGTACCTCTCGCCACGCCGTTTTCGAAAAGTTCAAAGCGATCACCGTAAAAATATCTTGCATTTTTCCAACCGCAAGCAGAATGCACGATAACAAACTATTTGCTCTGGAAAAATGTTAAGATAATAAAATTTACACCCCTTATTATAAAAAATACATCTTACAGCAATTTTAATTGTATGACTTACGTATTAGGGTTAGAGAAAACTCACCTATTTCAAAAATTAAACTGAACAACTCGATCGACGTTCTTAACTCTGCGTTAAAGCTTAAATAAAATGTTGCATGCATAACATGTATACAATAACACGTTACAGGATATTTTAATGAAATTGAACTACTTTACCCGTTTTACAAAATGTGGCCTTACATTTTAACACAAATAAAGTACTATTTTTTTTTTTTGTACTTTTTGTGTGTTGTGTATAGATTCAAAATTGTGTAGTCTTTTCATTTTAATTTGTATGTGCCCTCTTAAATTGAATTATTATTAAGTTATCTTTTTGTTATATGTCCACTGTTAATATGACCAACAAATGAAGGGTAAAAATAAACAAGTTGTTATTGCAGTGGCTGTATAATCAATCATTATAGATGTTTATGTGTATAGTCAGACAATAGCTCGTACTACGGTTTAGTCTCCAAAGACCAATATAAACGAAACTTTAAGTTTTGACGATTATTATTATGACCGAAGCTCAACAGACAACATCATGAATTCAAATTTTTATGAAACGAACACAAAGTTTACTTACAGAAGTTCTTATATTTATCTTATGAAAAATCGTTAAGTACATCGAATTCATGCCAGTTTCTCGGTACAGCTAATTTTTTAAACCAATATTATTTTATCTTTACTATATAGCATACATTTTTATATGATTTGACCGCATCCGTATTATTTCTCTAGGCTTGCGTACAGAAACAAACAAAAAACTTTATTGGAAGGGAAGACCGAGAATTGACAATGATAATACATTACATAATAGATTTCGACTCGCGTATTTTGTGTTCTCCGTATGGGCTCGTTGCCAATTTAATAATATTTTAAGAAATCAATGTCGCTCGTTATGGTCTATAAGTTGTAATTCTGAAAACAGGCTCCTCGGTAGTGCAGTAATATTTTTCAGCTAGCTTTGGTGTAGCGATCCTTCCGGTTGTCGTCAAAACTCTGAATAAACTTAAATTGATTGTACTACTTTAATTAATTATGTATACTAAAAGTTTCGCTGCACAATGGCTTTTGCAAATAAATCCAATTATACCTGTTCAAAATTAATACATCATCAATAATGTGTAGTTTGTGCAGTGCAGTGAAGTACTACGATTCGTGTCAGAGTATACAATTGAATGGGGTCAACGATTAATAGTTTGGTACGCTGTAACTCAATTATATTAATATATTAAAATGTTAAATGTTAAATCACCAAATTTAAATGAATATATTTACAGTAATGACTTGAATAATCAAAAGAAATCAAATTTAATTTTGGTTTGTACATAATTATATATAACTCATGAAACTGATGATAACTCATTTTAAATTATTTAGTACGGAACATTGAAGTATTTAGTGATATTGTGCCAAGGATTAAACCATATTCCTTATGGAAGTATTTATTATTGGTGTTGGATTCAAATCTATTCTTTTGAATATTTATGGAAATTCTCATTCGTAGGCTATGTTTAAGATTTAATTAAGAGAGACGACAGAAAATTGTAAAGTAAGACATGTTTTTTGTCTAATTTAATGTAAAAATACATTTTTTATTAATAGAAATCTCAGGTTTTCAAATATTTTCCATACATTAACATTTTATTTTCTCAGTAAATAGACGTACTAAAGCAAAAGTACGTGACTGCTCTAGGACTTTGGTCCGCCGCAGTAAAGTGTCATCACATTTTTCAGGACTACGTTGTTCATCGTTTAATGGATTCTGAGTGGAATTTCATAGTTCATAAATTCAATTTCATCGTACCTAACAATAATTATCTTATCAATGTCGCCAACAACTTTTGTTTATAATGAGTGACAAGTTGGACGATTTTTTTTTACAATGAAAATAGACAAAAAATACGCTTCTATATCTTCTAAAATCATACCAATGAACGCTTAAGCTGCCTTTTGTTATGCGTATAGTCCAAAAAACAGCTAAGCGTCCCTTTTCAAAGGTATTTATTGTCTTCATAGTAAACAAAACATCGAGATATAATAGATTAGATTTTTTTCGCGAGAAATAATTAATTAATTTAATACAATCATTATGGTATTTGAATATTATAAAGCAATTAAGGAGTAATAACGTTTAATTTTTATAGATCTCGGAAAACGAACGAGCGCCCGTGCGCTATACTCAAAATATAACCATATCTTTCCTTTCGGATTTTTAAATAATTATGCAGAGTGAAAAGTATACATCACACTGTTGAAGTTAAGTTATTTCCCAAGAGTCGCATACCCGTTTATAAAGTATATACAAATTCAGTCTGGTTGTATCTTTTCTTCTTCTAATCACTTTTGAGCGTGGCACGTTATTATTTATTCACTTCTTTGTGTCGACGACGACGAATTTCGTTCGGCAACCCCTTAGACAATAAAAAATAATTAAATATCATCAACCACAGTAAAACGGACTCGCCGTCTCTGGTCGTTTCAACGTACGAGGTACACAAACAGCTATCTCGAGAGGTTTATAAGCTTGCACCGTTCTCCTTAACAGAGGCTATGACTTGTCGGTTTGGTCTATAATTTTGCATAGACAAAATAAAAATACTCATTTATATTATCATTAAAAAAGCAAATTATGGATTACTTAGACCTTGAAAGATAAATAAAAACTGGAAAAACATACTTGTGCTGTATCGGTTCATATTTCATACAATTAATTGATACCTAACACAATATTTACATTACATAAAAAATAATAAAAACCCAAAGAGTATAGTTTTTCAGACTTATTTTTTAAGGCCTACTTACGATTTTTCGATCATACATTATTAGTCGATGGTACTTATTTTCCATCTATACTGGTTTAACAATTTTCAATTCAATATATCGGCGTAAGCTAACGAACCCACGAGAAAACATTAGAATTACAATTTGTATTTTGCTCTCCTGTAAAATTGTATAAAAACCCCTTGTGTCCTTTTCTCGTCAGATCAATTCAATTATAGTATACTGATCAAACCCGGTGTTGTTTGCTTTCAGAAGCCGGAGCAATCAAAGATGGATGAAACTCCGGACCACCGTGCAGCTGTCTAGTGCTATATCGTCGACGATAAAGACATCGAAACCGACTCTGCAAAGGGAAGACTCGTTCATCAAACGATTTTCTACTCGACAAGTCGCAGAAAAACAGGTACAACATTTAAAATATCATCTTCGACAACGGCGCAACAACAGAGTCGGTCGGGTTCTTGGGTGTTGAAGACGAGCAAAACTATCTTATTACGTTTTATTTTACCTTTGCGACCTCACTTTGTTATGAGGCGCAACTAAAATTTGAAACTCACAATGTCGTCACCGGAAACGAAGTGGTCTCGTCGTTTGGCCCCGTCGGTAATCTGCTAAAGCGTTGATATCGTAATTAAATCACAGGATTTACGGTGAGCTACCCCACTATTATAATGTTAGTAAGTTGACACTAGAGTCTCTCTATGTTTCCTCAGAAGTTGCATGACCCGTTTCCCGTTAAAAAAACAACTAAGCAATGGACGAATAATGCTAGAATAACATTGTCGTTGGTTGATTTATGTTTTCACGAGACGGCGCCTTGGTTATGGAAAATAATTACATTCATGCGTTGTTTCCACAAAACGATGAAAGTATTCGGTTAAATTTTAGAAAAATCTTATTGGCGATTTTTAAAATGTAATAGATGACTTGTAATAATGTACGTACCGCGATGTAAGAAGATTGGAAATCTTAAAGGTCATTTTTTTATAGAGATTACATTTTCGTAGTACTAAGGTAGTAAAATATCAGGTTCGGTAGTTAGTGTTAATAATACGGGTTTAATAGTAAGATTAAGAGTATAAATTTATGGTAAAATAGGATTGAGTTTATTTTAGTTGTAACTGAAAAATAAATGAAAATTCATTTCGACAGTAATTCCAAATAACCATTAACCAGGTTTTTGTTACTTCACAGTTCATATATTTTAGACCAACTTGTTATTTGAATACATCACATTATTAGGATTAAATAATCTCAAAATATCGCTTAATTTCAAAAAAATGTGTATCTTATAATACGTAAATAAACATGTGTTCTTTGAGTAAATATTAAAATATACGTTACACAATACGAGAGCTTATGTTAGGATAAAAACCAAGGTCTAATGCATTGTTGATACGTTGACCAGAATGGATTTACAAGATTCAAGAACTGTTTGACAAACGGCTTTAGTATCTTGTTTGAAGAGAAAAAAAATGTTCAATAAAACTCGGTAAACTTTTTGAGGAATAAAAAATGGCGATTTGTCAATTTTATAAAAAAAAACGAATTAATATAAAAACTAATTGGATGAACCAATGTAATAGGTTACTTTGTTATTATTTAACTTGGTTTTAAAACTTTAAATCGTTCATAAATATTATTTAGTCTTACAGTTTATATATTATGTCAAACATTTTATTGAAATTTAAAAGAGTTCTGGACAAATGATAGTCATATTAGTATAAATAACATAAAAAACTGTTTAATAATTTGTAATATTATGAAAATGCTGTTGCTTAGTAAAAAAGGTCAAAGAGGATAGCAATACATTTTTTCCGGATTGTTCGTTATTTATTTATTTATATTTTACAAGAAATAGCGTGACTTTGACCACTTCTATTTTCAGCTGCGTTGCATTATACATTGTCAGCCGGCATAATAAAGCTGAATTATCGTGCATACATAAGGATTATATTATTATGCAATTTGTACAAACATTGCATTGGAGTGTTCAATGCTCAAATATAAATCATTAGTACTGATGCCGCATAAACGCAATAGACTAGAGAAAAATTATAAGAATATGTGGGGTTTTTTTGTTTTGTAAACAAGACACCCGGAAGTGTTTTTTTTTTTTGTATGAAAGTTTTTGCTTTTTGTCAATTTTTATTGTAATCGACTGGTCGAAAAAGTTTTATAGATGTCAAGCAGATAAAAAAAAATTACACGCTATGTTCATAAGTTGTATATTCTACCACTTCATTTATCGATCGTCTCGGAAAGTTTTTATGGCATAAATTTAAAAGTCAAAGAGATAAATTTCAGGACAAAAAAAACTACCAAGCCTACTTGGACGTACAAAGTATTCGACTTTTTATTTTTGATCGTACTTCTAGACATTATGTAAACTGAGGTCGATAAAACAGACTGTTAAATTGCAATACAGCTGTTCAACTTGTTTTTCATATATATTTTGTCTGTATTTGACGGATGAAAAAAATCAGAGACGTTATTTCCAGACGAAACTTGTTTTAGTAAACACGATGATTTGAATGATACGGGCTCTAGTTATTTCTATTGATATATTTGTACTTGATATCTACACTAGTGTAATTCAATGTCTTGTAAAATAAATGCAATAAGTATAGTGATCATTTTATTAGAAAATTCATAAATGTAACGTATTAAAATGTGTATTCTTAACGAGGCGCAATGCAAAATTGTTATCAATAATTAAAAAAAGACTAAATCGTATAATTACAAATCAACAACTACATATTAACAACTACTTTTGAATAAATGTTAGAATAATAAACACACATAAATAATAATAACTTTATACCTATGTAGCAATATTAAACTATGATTTTTCGACTCGTACTTATGATTTGTCATTTCATTACATGTCATGAAAAGTCATTTTTTAAATTTCACCCCTTAATATTTGAGTAACGGCACAAATAAAACACACTTTTAGATATATTTCATGTCTCTTGACCACAATTTTTGAGAGTGATAAATTATCCTTAATACATTTAGTCATGTATTCAAAACTACAACAGGACTGAAACTCGTTAGACGTTACATAATGTGAAATAGTATTTATTTGTTAGGTAAGTTTCACCACGCAATACTAGGTTATTTTTCAGTGTCTAATTGGTGATACTAAATGTACTTTTTTAATTGAAGTTTTGGCATTTTTGCAACCAAAATAACATGTTCTCGAAATTGTTATATACAATAAATTTGGCCATTAATTTCATGTAAAGTTGATAATTTAGTTCCTTATTTTTTTGTATAATGATATATTGTTATTTTTAGGACGGCCATTTTTTATAGATCAGTTCGATTACAGCATAATAATTTTTTATTTTTTTGACAATTTAAATGTCATAAATACATTTTTATTATAGTTAGATTCATTGGTAACAAGTTTACGGCCGAAGCAGTTTTGGTTTCAGTGTAGGTTATTCGAACTAGAATCTTCAATAAACTCATTTTATAGCCGACGGATTTTTCCGGAAAACATTAGCAATAAATAATCGTAAATGCTTAGAGTTGTCATTTCGTAATAACAACAATAAACTATTAAACACATGAAGATATATATGTATATTTATGTCATAAAACTATAACCGTCAATGTTTAGTAGTCTATAGTATTAGATGATTAAAAAAATATCATTAGCATCTATTCGGCTAGTACTGCAGTAATGCATATTGTAAATGGAAAAGAAAATTGTAATTAAAATTAACTTTATAATTATCGAGTTCTAAAGTATTGAACGGCATATTATGAATGTTTTATGTAAATTAGAGCATTTAGTCTCAATTGATAATGTTTACTAGTTTTTACTATTATTATATACTTATTACTGTATAAGTTACAAATCAGAAAAGTTGTTTGTTTTTATAAGACTTATTAGATGCTAATAAAGTCCCAAACGTGTTGGAAAATAAAACTCCTGGTTTAACTATTAAAACATTTAACTATTCTGTAGTCGGGATGACGGTATTTTATGCCATATGGGTACTTATAAATATAAGTATATGACAATGCTTAAAACACGGTCAGGTCTTAACATACTTCTAAAATGACTCCATAGTAATTTATTATTAAAACAAGCAGAGCAGCGGAATGTCTAGAGTACTTTTGAAGAGTTTATTTAATGAGCACATGCGTATGAGCTTATGAAACACTATAGAGAATAGCATTTTACATTTCAATATAGGACAAAATAGTTTAGTGTAGGATTTCACACTCTTTGTTGGAATACACCATTTTTTGCCTACCTATTTTATATTGCGTCAATCGTACGTAGTATAAATAGTATTCATTAGGTTATATAAAACCTAATTATCTATAAATGTAAACTGTTTATGAAAAAAGTTTTACCAATAATTATTAAAATTAAAAAATGGTAAACATACACCAATTATATTTCTTACCTATATAATGAATACATAAAAAAACGTTGCCCAATACATACTGTAAATTTTGCTCCCAACTTTATTTCACTGTTAAAGTTTAAGAGCCATTGTATGCCAATATATTCTAAATAGGTAAATAATATAAAAAAAACTTTTAGTAACTTATTAATAGAGCCTTAAAAATTTTGGTATAGGTAGTATAAAAATTAAAGAAGGGTTTTTATTGTTGGCAATGTTCATTGTAAAGAAATTCGTCGTTATGAAATTGAAGATCATACGTCTTAAATTTATATGTTTAGCAAACTAATATTATAACTTTAGAAAATAAACAAGAATAAGTCTTCTTTTTAATTGAATCAGTCATTTCAAAAACGACATAAGTCACCGATTTTTCAAAAATGATTTCTGTCAAATTTGATAATTATATACGTAGTCACGTATTCTGTGTAAAAATTACATTTTTCAGATTTGTGTAAGAAATATTTTATTTTAAAAAATTATACCAGTTTGTGCAATAATTTGATAACATTTCTTTGTTTATTTATTTTATTTCTTGACCTAATTTCTATATGATAAATTTATATTCCCTGCATAAAAAAACGCAAGTCAAATAATATGTCTCATCTCAACTTAATGAATTTTGGTCAACGTTTGAACTATTGAAAACTATTGATTACGAATATCAGAAATCCTATAAATAAATTAGTAAATAAAAGTGTAAATGCAAAATAACTTGAATTTCTGGAGTTATGAAGCTTTTCGTGGCTAGTGTAAAATTTTAATTTTGTGACGTGTCGTTTTTGAAATGACCGATTCAATTATAGATAACGTTTTTCGATAAAGAATAAAATGTTGAATTGTGCGCAAACGATTAATACTTTTTCTTACTACATTCTCTCTCCTGTAACCGCGTTATTTTGATTAGTTAGAGGAAATACTCAAAACGTATCGCTTTAACAGATCACACTAAATATTGGACACAAAATATCGT